GGGAGTGGCCACTGCACTCCAGTCTGAGCGACAGAGTGAGACTTCAACTCAAAAAAAAATTAGGGAGGTATGTGTGGTGGTACATGCCTGTAGTCCCAGCTGCTTGGGAGATTGAGGCAGAAGGATCACCTGAGCCCAGGAGGTCGAGGCTGCAGTGAGCTGTGATTGTGCCACCGCACTCCAGGTCATAGAGCAAAACTCTGATTCAAAAAAAAAAAAAGATAAATTCTACACTGATGACCCTTTGTCCCGAGGCTTGTTCTGGGCTCTGCTGTGCGTGTTGCATAGCTGGTCTGCCAGGCAGACACAATTGTCTCCTAAACACACTCCCAGGTGTGTAATGGCTGCTGTGGGAACTCAGGAAAATACATAGGATGGCTTCACCCATGTGCACGGTGAGCTCAGACACAAGCTCCGCACAGTGACCTTGGTAAAGCTCATGGTCCTGAGTCTGCTATCATCAAGGTCATTTTACAAACAAGCCAAAGTGAGGTTCAAGGCTATCAAGTCATTTGCCCCAGGACCTGCAGCTGGTGCGAGCACCCACAAATCACATGATGGATTATTTGCCAACAAGTCAGGCCCAAAACTGGGGGGGCGGGGAGCCAAGCGGCCATCACTCACCATTGACACAGCCAAGTTCATCGCTCATGTCCTTGCAGTCATACTCTCGGTCACACTGCCGGCTGCCATGGACACACGTCCCGTCCAGGCACTGGAATTCGTCTGGGCGACAGGTGGCCACAGCTGGAACAGACAAAGAGTGTTGATTTTCTCACAGAGACGCAACCAAAGAACAGAACGACCACCTTCCAAGCAATGATGTCCCAGTGATCTAAGAGGAGCTGGTTGCCTTGGGCCTCAGGGGCAGCCATGTGGGTGCGGGAGCTTTAGAGATGGCCTCCCTTCTCATCATGGGGAAAAACTCCCCAGCTGACCTGTCTTTGTGTTTCCATTATAACATAGATTAAGATACATTTTTTTTCAGCCTGTAATCCCAGCGCTTTGGGAGGCTGAAGTGAGTGGATTGCCTGAGCCCGCAGGTTCGAGACCCGCCTGGGCAACTTGGCGAGACCTCATCTCTACAATAAATCAAAAAATTAGCCGGGCGTGGTAGTGCACGCCTGTAGTTCCGGCTACTTGGAAGACTAAGGCAGAAGGATTGTCGGAAAGATTGCCAGAGCCCAGCAGGTCGAGGATGTGGCGGCCGGGAGCGGCCACTGTACTCCAGTCTAGGCGATAGAGTGAGACTCCAATTCAAAAAAAGATACATTTTTTTTTTAAGAGACAGGGTCTTGCTCTGTTGCCCGGGCAGGAGAGCAGTGGTGTGATTATAGCTCACTACAGCCTCGAACTCCTGGGTTTAGGTGATCCTCCTATCTTAGCCTCTCAAGTAGATAGGACTACAGGCTTATCACCACGCCTGACTAATTTTTTAATATTTTTGTAGAGACAAGGTCTCAGTATGTTGCCCAGCCTGACTGTGAACTGGACTCAAGCAATCCTCCCACCTTGGGATTACAGGCATAAGCCACAGTGCCTGGTTAATGTCTCTCTTTCTTTTAAAATATTCACTTTTTTTTTGGAGTTGGAGTCTCACTCTGTCGCCCAGACTGGAGTGCAGTGGCATGCTCCCAGCCACCGCAGCCTCGACCTGCTGGGCTCCAGCGATCCTTCTGTCTCAGCCTTCCGAGTAGCCAGAACTACAGGCATGCGCTACCACACCTGGCTAGTTTTTTTACTGTAGAGACAAGGTCTCGCCAAGTTGCCCGGGTGGGTCTCGAACCCACGGGTTTGGGCAATCCACTCGCCTCGGCCTCCCAAAGTGCTGGGATTATAGGCTGAGCCACCGAGCCTGGCCCCCCCATAAAATGCAACTGAAGCCAGGAGTACTGGTGCTTGCATGTAGTTCCAGCTACTTGGAAGGCCAAGGCAAGAGGATTGCTTGAGGCCAAGAGTTTAAGACCAGACTGGGCAACATAGAGACTCCCGTCTCCAAAAAAAAAAAATAATAGCCAGCAACAGTGGCTCACGCTTTTAATCCAGCACTTTGGAAGGCTGAGGTGAGAGGATTGTGTGAGTCCAGGGGTTTGAGACCAGCCTGGGCAACTTGGTGAGACCTCATCTCTACAATAAATGAAAAAATTAGCTGGGCATGGTGGCACGTGCCTGTAGTTCCAGCTACTTGGAACTTGGAAGGCTGAGGCAGGAGGATCACATGAGCCCAGCAGATCAAGGCTGCGGTGGCCATGAGCACGCCACTGCACTCCAGCCTGGGCGACAGAGTGAGACTCCAACTCAACAACAACAAAACAAAAATTCCAAATTCTGTTCCTCAGTGGACAGGCCTCGTGTCATGGGTTCAACAGTCACATGGGGCTAGTGGCTCCTGCCTGGACAGCAGTGGGCATGGGCATGCCCACTGCTGCAGGAAGTGCTATTGGGTGGCCCTGGACTCTAATCAGAGCTTGCCAAGGTCAATGCCATTGCTCCGTTCTCCAGCCGGGAGACCACAGTACAGTGAGGGCAGGTCAGCCAAGGGTCACCCAGCTCAGACGTCACCAGCCAGGCCTGGAGGCAAAAGTTCTTTCTGGGTCAGTAATACTGCAGCCTGTGCCCTTGTCAAAAAATAGATTAACTAAGCAGGAGAGATTAACTCAGAAAGAGTCTGTTTTGGGGATAGCCTCTTCCTCAGTGTGACCAGAGAGATTCAAAGGAAAAAGACAAGGGCCAGGTGTGGTGGCCCATGCTGGTAATCCCAGTTCCTTGGAAGGCTGAGGCAGAAGGATCGCTTAAGCATAGGAGCTCAAGACCAGCTTGGGCAACATATTGAGACCCCATCTCTACAGAAAGGAATAAAAATTAGCCAGGTGTGATGTACAGCTGCAGTCCCGGTTACTCAGAAAGCTGAGGTAGGAGGATCACTCGAGCCTAGGAGGTAGAGGCTGCAGTGAATTATGATTATGCCACTGCACTTCAGCCTGGGTGACAAGTGAGATTCTGTCTCTAAAATGAAAAAAACAAACACGTGAAAGGAGATCTGGACCACTTTTGGCCTGTGATTTGGAATCTGTTTTTTGAGACAGGGTCTTACTATGTTGCCCAGGTCAGTCACAAATTCTTGGACTCAAGTGATTATCTTGCCTCAGCCTCCCAAAGTTCTGAGACTACGGGTGTGAGCCACTGCACCCAGCCGCACAGCAGTTTTCATAGAGCTGAAATCACTGCATAGATGCCATTAGACATTTTTTTCTTTCTATTTAAAAAATTTACTGTAGACACAAAAATAGACATTTTTTTAGTCACTTTTTTTTTCAATTTTTTTGGTAAGAGATAAGGTCTCGCTATGTTGCCCAGGCTGGTCTCAAATTTCTGGGCTCAAGCAATCCTCCCTCCTTGGCCTCTCAAAGTGCTGGGATGACAGGCATACACCATAGCGCCCTACCTAAAATTGAAATTGAATTGAATTGAATTGAAATCTTTTGGCTTTTTTTTTTTTTTTGAGTTGGAATCTCACTCTGTTGCCCAGGCTGGAGTGCAATGGCACACTGATGGTCATTGCAGCCTAAACCTGCCAGGCTCAGGTGATCCTTCCACCTCAGTCTTCCAAGTAGCGGAAACAACTGGTGCACACTACCATGCCCAGCTTATTTTTTGATTTATTGTAGAGACAAGGTCTCACCAAGTTGCCCAGGCTGGTCTCGAACCCCTGAGCTCAGGCAATCCTCTTGCCTCCGCCTCCCAAAGTGCTGGGATGACAGGCTTGAGTCACCGTGCCTGGCCCAAATCTTTTAATCCCTTAAAGCTGCCACCCATCCTACATGCGGGTGAGCCCGGGGACAAGTCTGGCACACATGATGGGTCCCCTCCCCACCCGTACCACAGTCTTCCTCGTCAGACTTGTCCTTGCAGTCGGGGCCGCCATCACAGTGCCAGCTGGCATGGATGCACTCGCCGCTGCCACAGAGGAACTCGAACGCGGAGCAGGGGCTGCTGTCACCGTGGAGGGAGGACCCGCCATGCCCTTCGCAGCGCTGGGGCCACTCGTCGGAGCCGTCATCACAGTCGGCGTCGCCGTCACAGACCCACAGCTCAGGGATACAAGTAGAGCCGTTGCACTGGAAGTTGGCGGGGCCGCAGGTGAGCACCGGGCAGGAGGCCTCATCCGAGCCATCCAGACAGTCCCGGTCTGAGTCACAGACGAACTGCCGGGAGATGCACTTGCCGTCGTGGCAGGGGAACTCGTCCTGGGTGCAGGTCTTGGGGGCTGCAGGACACACAGGCAGGGCCGCCCTGTCAGCATGGGGCCTTCCGATACCAAACCAGTCTACAGGCGGGAACACTGTCACAGAGAGGGAAGACCCCGAGGGGGTTGGGGTCCCAACACTGAACCAGTGCCTGTTCTGTGCCTCAGTTTCCCCTACTGTATGAGCCTCCTGGCATTGCTATGAGAACCGATGAGTTAACGGGTATCAAGCTCTTAAGCCGGGTCCCTGAGATAGTAGTGCTACTTCTCAGGTAATTGTTGTTATTTTTAGTCAGAGTCTCACCCGGCTGGCCAGGTTGGAATGCAGTGGCACGATCACGGCTCACTGCAGCCTCCACCTCCTGGGCTCAAGCAATCCTCCCACTTCAGCCTCCTGGATAACTGGGAATATAGGCACAAACCACCACAACCAGCTAATTTTTTAGTATTTTTGTACAGACAAGGTCTTGCTATGTTGCCCAAGCAGATCTCAGACTCCTGGGCTCAAGCAATCCTCCAGCCTCAGCCTCCCAAAGTGCTGGCATTACAGGTGTGAACCACTTCACTCGGCCGAACTGCTTTCATTATCATGGGGTTGAGTCTCTCTTGTCTGAAATGCTTGGGACCTGAGAAGTGTTTTGTGTTTTTTCAGATTTTGGAATATCTGCATTATCCTTACCGGTTGAGCAACCCAAATCCAAAAATGTAAAATCAGAGATGCTCCCATGGGTATTTCCTTCCAGCAGCACATTGTAACGCTTGAGAACATCCAGATTTTAGAGCTTTTTGGATTTGGGAAGCACAGCCTGTATAAAAAAAAAAAAAGAAGAAGAAGAAGAGGCGGGGTGTGGTGGCTCACACCTGTAATCCTAGCACTTTGGGAGGTCGAGGCAGGAGAATTGCTTGGGCCCAGGAGTTTGAGACCAGCCTGGCCAACATAGTAAGACTTTGTCGCTACAAAAAACAGAAATGCTAGCCGGGCGTGGGGACACAAGCCTGTAGTCCCAGCTACTCAGGAGGCTGAGATGAGAGGATCGCTTGAGCCCAGAAATTCAAGGCTGTAGTGACCTGGAATGGTGCCACTGTACTCCAATCTGTGTGTCTCACAGGGTAAGACTCTGACTCAATAAATAAATAAATGAATGAATGGATGACAACAGTTTCTCCTTGTGTGCTATGGTTTCTTCACAGAATTTCACAGCGGGCTGGAGCCTCCCTCCCCTGAGTGGGAGGAATCTCTGAGGCTCGGTCACTAGTGTCCACCATGTGCTCAGCCCCCCAGCAAAGGCCAGCGGTGGTGACAGTGGCTCACCATGGCATGTGCCAGGTGGCAGAGCCTCAGGGGACAACCTCCTCCCCTTCTGTAATGCCTCCTGGTCCAGAGGGACTCCGGGGTGGGAGGAGGCTAAACACGAGCCCCCAAGAGATAGGGCCCAGTGTGGAGCGGCCACCGCATAGCTCGAGCAGGGCCTTGCAGGGACCATGTCAGCCCTGTCCCCAGGGCCCCAGCAGGCACAGGTGCAGGGACGGGACCACACTTACGACAGCCCTGCTCGTCTGAGCCGTTCTCGCAGTCCACCTGCCCATCGCACTTCCAGAACTGGGGGATGCAGCGATTGATGCGGCCCCCACAGCTGAAGTCCCCTGATTTGCAAGTGACAGACCCTAGGAGAGAAACAGGATTGAACTGTCACTCAAGGCGAAGACCAGCTGGCCTTACCACCTCATGTTTGCAGAGGTAACCCCAGAGCTTTCAAGAAAGAATGCCAACCCCATGGTTGTGGGTTAACACAAAGTGCATTTAATGGAGCATGTTAAAAATTACGCTTTTTTCCCTCTCTCTCTCATTTATTTTCTAAATACACTATATTTCCCAATCTAAAAAAAAAAAAATTAGATGTTAGGGAGGCCGGGGGTGGTGGCTCATGCCTGTAATCTCAACACTTTGGGAAGCAGAGGCAAGAGGATTGCCTGAGCCCAGGGGTTTGAGACCAGCCTGGGCAACTTGGCGAGACCTCATCTCTACAATAAATCAAAAAAATCAGCTGGGTGTGGTGGCGTGCACCTATAGTCCCAGCTACTCGGGAGGCTGAGGCAGAAGGATCCCCTGAGCCCAGGAGGTCGAGGCTGTAGTGACCTATGATCATACCACTGCACTCTGGCCTGGGCAGCAGAGTGAGACTCAGAATAAAAAATAAAAAAAATCAGATGTTATAGGATGCAGAGGTTTTGGAACAAGTGCGAGGTGGTAGCAGCACAGGTGAAGGCAATAATGCTACCACACCAGTTAATTTCATGTTAAGTGAATTTCACCTCACATGGAAAAAAAAAGTCATTATTGGCTGGGCTCAGTGGCTCAGTCTATAATCCCAGTACTTTGGGAGGCCAAGGTGAGTGGATTGTCTACGTCCTCGGGTTCAAGACCAGCCCGGGCAACTTGGCGAGACCTCATCTCTACAATAAATCAAAACTTAGCTAGGCGTGGTAGTGTGCGCCTGTAGTTCCAGCTACTTGGAAGGCCGAGGCAGAAGGATCGCCGGCGCCCAGCAGGTTGACGCAGGGGTGGCTGTGAGCATGCCACTGCACTCCAGCCTGGACGACAGAGTGAGACTCCCACTCAAAAAAAAAAAAGTCATTATTAAATGACTTTAAGAAAAGTTCTCCCAACTCACAGCTAAACACATCAAAAGCCACTGGCTATTGTTTCAGCTGCCACCTTCAGAAAGGGTTAGGATTTTTAAAAGGAGGGAGGGTCAAGGGTCATATGCTCCGAGGGGACTCACGGCAGGTCTCCAGGGATTCATCCGAGCTGTCAGGGCACTCAGGGCGACCGTCACAAACCCACTTGTAGGAGATGCATTTCCCGTCTTGGCATTGGAACTCGTTCCTCTCACATTTGTCTGCAAAAATTTTTTAAATTATTTGTAATTTTCCGGGGGCGATAAATAAATAAATAAAACATTTGGCTGGGCATGGTAGCTCATGCATGTTATCCCAGCATTTTGAGAAACAGAGACAGGAGAACTGCTTGAGGCTGGTAGTTCAAGATCAGCCTGGGACACATAACAAGACCTGGTCTCTAGTAGATAAAAAATAAAACATCTGGGCCGGGCTTGGTGGCTCAGCCTGTAATCCCAGCACTTTGAGAGGCCAAGGCAAGTGGACGCCTGAGCCTGAGGGTTCGAGACCAACCCGGGTAACTTGGTGAGACCTCATCTCTACAATAAATAAAAAAATTAGCCAAGCATGGTAGAGCATGCCTGTAGTTCTGGCTATTTGGAACGCTGAGATGGAAGGATCGCCAGAGCCCAGCAGATCGAAGCTGGGGTGACTGTGAATGTGCTACTGCACTCCAGCCTGGGCAATAGTGAGACTCCAACTCAAAATAAGTAAATAAATAAACAAGTAAGTAAAGAAATAAATAAATAAACAAATATCTGTTCCCCATTGAGAGGGAGGGGAAGGGGAAGGGGTATACTCAGTGCCAGAATCACAGTCTGTTTCCTGGGTCTATTTCCTGCCAATAATGAAGAAACCAGAAATGCAATCCTATCAGGAACTGCCTAATTCCCAGGAAATTAAACACAAAAAATGAAATTTCATAAACCCAAGAGAGGAAATGATCAACAAAGGTTTTGACATGATGTTGTTGGATTCCAAAGTGTACACTGGACCACAGGAATAAAATATTAGCACTTCCGTGCACATTAATAAGCAAATGAGGCTGGGCGTGGTAACTTACACCTCTAATACCAGCCCTCTGGGAGGCGGAGACTAGAGGATAGTCTGAACCCAAGAGTTCAAGACCAGCCTGGGCAACTTGGCAAGACCTCATCTCTCCAATAAATTTTTAAAAATTAGCCAGATGTGGTGATGTGTGCCTGTGGTTCCAGCTACTTGGAAGGCTGAGGTGGAAGGATCACGGGAGCCCAGCAGGTTGAGACTGCGGTGGCCGGGAGCATGCCACTGCACTCCAGTCTGGGCGACGGGGTGAGACTCCAACTCAGGAAGAAAAAAGAAAATAGCAAGAAATAAATAATTATGAGAAATTATAGTTGTAAAGGCCACAGAATACAGATCGATCAGAAGATAATCAGATCTGAAGATCAGATCAAAGGAAATAGAGAAATATATGAGAAAAATTTTTCTTGGACAACATTGCCTTGGATGATTAGATAAAAATTAGAAAACATTAAGAGTTTGGGAGATTTCCAAAAATGCAAGATTCTTATGCTGTTGATTGCATTTAGTTTTAGACATTAAATTTTGACTTAGAATTCTTTTTTTTTTGACAGGGTCTTACTTTGTCATCCAAGCTAGAGTGTAGTGGCATAGTCATAGTTCACTGCAGCCTCAAGTGATCCTGGGCTCAAGTGATCCACCTGCCTCAGGCTCCCAAGGAGCCATCACATCTAGCTGATTTTTTTTTTTAGAGATGGGTCTTGCTATATGACCCAGACTGATCTCAAAGTCCGGGCCTCCAGCGATCCTCCTGCCTCAGTCTCCCAAAGTGTTGGGATTACAGGTGTGAGTCACCGTGCCCGGCCTAGAATGCATTTCTACATGTGAACTGGAATCAAAGTTAACTTTTACAATTCAAAATGTAAACTTTGATTCTGTAATGTAAACAAAAACAATAGCGCTAAAGAAAGGATGAGCACTCAGCTCAGCATGCTTCATGCATAAATCAGGCAATAAGACCAAGAAAAAAAGACGGCAGTGTCTGCCTTTTCATTATCATGAAGTTGTATCAGATGCCATCTAGGCGTATTCATTTTAATGGATGGCTAGACGTACTGTATGTTTCTTATCCTCTTAGGAAGGTTAAGAATGCTTTGTCTTTCATCAATTAATTTTTAATGTTAGCAATAACAAAAAATCGGTTAATGGCTTGCTCAAAATTTAGCCAGCTCATTTGGCACTAAGGTAATTAATAAATGCATCCCACTTGAAGCGGAAACCACATCTCCAGCAAGTTATTACATTCTTGGGAGAATGTTCCAGATCAAAAAAAGAAGATCAGTGCATATGATATTGAAGTTAGAGAATCTGGAAGGAAAACCTCAATTTCTCAACCAAATCATCTTTGACAAAACCTCCAACAACAACCACTGGGGAGGGGAGAACCTATTCGGTAAGTGGTGCTGGTAAAACTGGCTGACCACATGCAGAAGACTCAAACAAGACCCCTATCTATCCCCATACACAAAAATTAACTCTAAATGGATCAGAGACCTAAATGTAAAACCTCAAACTATAAGAACCTTAGATAATGCAGGAGACACTCTATGGAAGTTGGAACTGGCAACCAATTCCTGATCAAAATCCGAAGTGCCCATGCCATGAGAGATAAGATAGACAAGTGGAACCTCATCAAATCAACAAGCTTCTGCAAAGCAAAAGAAACCATCAAGAGAGTGAGGAGACAGCCCACAGACTGGGAAAAAATATTTCCTAACTGTATGTCTGACAAAGGCCAAACATCTGGGATCTACAAGAAACTCAAAAGTGCTGAAAAGAAAAAAACAAACAGCCCATTACAAAGTGGGCAAAAGAAAACATACAAGCAGCCAACAGATACATTAAAAAATTTTCAGCTTTACCAGTCATCAAGGAGATACAAATTAAAACTACACTGAGATACCAACTAACTCCAATCACAATGGTCATCATCAATAACACAAAAAATAACAGATGCTAGAGAGGATGTGGCAAAAAGGGAACACTTCTACACTGTTGGTGGGAGTGTAACCTAGTACAGCCTCTGTGGAAAACAGTGTGGCGATTCCTAAAAGATCTAAAAATCGACCTTCCATACGACCCTGCAATCCCCCTACTGGGAATATACCTGGAAGAACTCAAATCACTCTATAAAAAAGATACTACATACATATGTTTATCGCAGCATTGTTCACAGTAGCAAGAATATGGAACCAATCATACTGCCCATCAAAAGAGGACCGGTTTAAAAAAATGTGGTACATATACACAAATATTACGCAGCCATAAAGAACAAAATTATGAGATTCACAGCAACCTGGATGGACTTAGGGTCTATAATACTGAGTGATCTTTCACAGAAACAAAAAACTGAGTATCACATGTTCTCACTCACAAGTGGACCTTGAACAATTATTGTAATACTATAAGAAAATGATTGGCAGTAGTGGGAAACTTCCGGGAGGGGGGCGGAGAAGCAGGATTGGCAGTAGTGGGAATCTGCCTGGGGAAGGGGGGGTTACATTTCATCAATAAGGGCAACTGCATAATGAACATTTGTATACCTAACCCTGAATTGTACCTCACATCTATAAAATTAAAAAAAAAAAAAAAGGATATATAGAAAGAAAAAAAAAAAAAGGCAGGAGGAGGGAGAAAGAGGTGGAGGAATGAAAAAAATCACCTATCCAGTACAGTGTGCACAGGTGGGGGTGGTGGGTACACTTAAGCCTAGACTTCTTCACCACTGTACAATGCAATCAGGTAACCAAAAACTACTTGTACTCCCTAAAGCTATTGGAATAAAAAAAAATGTTTTCTTTTTAGGGTGGGCACGGTGGCTCAAGTCTGTAATCCCAGCACTTGGGAGGCTGAGGTGAGGGGATTGCCTGAGCCATGGGTTCAAGAACAGCCTGGGCAACTTGCCTAGAACTGGTCAATACAAT